CCACCTAAGCACATGTAAGCATATGTATATCAATATATAGCTGAAGCCCTGTGTAAAAACTTCCGAAATATTTGAAATATAGTTATAATGTGAAAATGAATCAGTGCAGGAGTTCCAGGCAGAAATAAGGCTTTACATTCTTTTATTGTGTTGTAAAGATGTGTCATCTTGGGGGTGAAGAGGATACTCAATGGAAATGACACCAACCCTAATCTCACTAATATCTGTTAAAAATCTTTCCCTGCTAGTGGATTTCAGAACGCCACCTGGTGATCATGAGTAGAGAACTGGGGCATCATGCACGCATTCTGAAAAAATGCAGCTTAGGATCAGGCATGCAAACCCCTCAGGCATCAGGAGGAGACAATTTTTCTGGGTGCATTTTAATAAACATTTAGTAAAATTCAGTTTGGTTAACAGGAAAATTGCCAACTTATATAAAGCGTCTCAATGTCTGGACGAAAGGAGTTGTCTCATTAAAAAGCTAATCATTGAAGAAAATTATACATAGACCTTTGAAGGAAAAGTGTTAGTTTTATATAGTGGTGAAGAACCATTGTATTCTCTGCTTGGTGAGTTATTGCTGTTGTGTTCCTCAGACTCCACTTCCTCCATGCTGCGCACAGCTCTCCTCTGTTAATGCCAGTTCTCAGGAATGACAGCACTTTCTAACCTATAAGCACTTTAACAAATCTAGCTAATCTCCACAACACCCCTATGAGGTAGGTAAATAAATATCTCTCTTTTGCATATGGGAAAAATGAGGCTGAGGGTGAGTTTCCGAGGCTGGAGAGATGGACCAGGGATTAGGGCTCAGTTGTGCAGAGATTCCCAGTTCCTGTTTCCCAGTCACTGACCCATAGCCCCTCCCATCCCTGCATCCAGAAAGGAATCCATCCCATAGTGTAAAAGGGTATTGTTTTGTAGAATGACATAGGTAAGTATATTTAAGACAGTCACTATATTCAACACAGGGATTTTTGGTTTTCTACGACACCATAAATTCCATTGATTTTCATACTACCAAAGATCACTGAATAAAATGACTCAAGCTTTTGTGGAGGACAACAGATTGTCACCTCTTTGTTGCTGATTCAGCTAAACATCCTGTTGGTAACCTGAAGGTAAAAAGATTTGAAATGGGATTTGGTGATGTAAAAATCTCAGGGAAAAACAAAAGCGAAACTGAATTGGGCTGGTACACACATCTGCGATGGGACTCACAGTGATGACATTGTGGAGCGTAGGGGGTCTTTGCTACACAAAGTGGAGGATCCATTTGATTTCCTAAAAACATTCTGCATGTAAGGGAAGGACCCAACAAGGAACTTTATTGCCTTCCCCATAAAGTCATTCCAACTTGGAACTGAGTATGGAATGTGACACAATCAAAACCCTGCCTACAAATCTTCAAAACCTTTTTCTCTGGAAATCCCCTCAATATCTTTGCATAGCTGAATACCTTTCGGTCCTATGTGTGCCTGCTCACAGTCAATCATTTGTATCATGTTCTGCAACCTAAGCGCTCTTAAAGAAAACTGGTCTGAATAGCTTGTCTGCTTTTCTGCTAAGCTTCAGGACCATAAATGAGGCAAGCACAAAATTTGAGACAATGCTCACCAACCCAGTGTCAAATCAGGAGAAACAAGATCAGCTTCCTACTGTTACAATGAAGAAATATCCACAAATAATCAGGAATGCAAGTGTCAGGATGAACATCTCAAACTTTCCTTCTGGGAGGTGAATTTTCCTTTTTCTTTTTTCCCAGGAATTTTAACGATGAGTACAAAAAAACCACTAAATATTCCCATATTTGTGGTAACCAGTTGGTGCTTGGAAATTGGCATGACATCAACAAACCAAACCCAAAAAACTACGTATGGTATTTTGTTTGGTTTGGGAAAAATAGCTTTTACTTCTATCAACACCATAAAATTAACCATGAAATGATTTTGTCAAGCAGTTTGAACTGTTTTTAGGCTTAAAAAATATCATAAGGAATGCTTAAAATTAAAACTTCTATTTGAAGAATAAAAACTTAACAAACTTGTATTTCCCTTGAGCCATTTTGTCAAGTAGATTTTGTGAATAACTAAGGTGATATGAACAGCAGAAGAGCAATGATACAATTTATAAAAGATGGCAAAGACTGAATAGAAAGTTTCTTGCCTGGCAGGGGCCGAGCGAAGGAGGGTGTGCTGCAGCCAGGCCCAGAATGCCCAGGACAGCCTACCTGACCTCTTTCATTCATGTGTTTGCCGAAAGTAAATAAAAATTATAAACATTTGCTCTGCATTATTTCTCTTTGCACAACAAAGAGACTTTTAGCAGCAAAATATGACCAGCAATTGCTTACGGCGCAAGAAAGCTCAATTCCATTACTTATAACACCTGAGCAGTCTGTCTATCCAGACAACGCCAGACACCCAGACAGAAAACTGTATGATTCAAACATCTCGACTTTTCCAAATATCCATATGTTTGATATCATGAAGACCAAATTTACCACTTGAGTGACCTATTTTGCCACTTTTCCTCAGGATATTTGCAGTCATGTGGACAGTCTCTTTTTTTTAATAACTCTTTGTCTACTTTGGTTTAGTGACGATGGTTCAGCAATCATCTGGAAAATTCGGATGTTGAAAGTCCCCAAAAGAAAAGAAACTTAGTCAGGAGGAAAAATCAGAGCTTGAGGGCTATCAATGGTCCAGTGGTTTTGTCTATGTTGAAAAATCGCTTAACTGTCCGTTTCTTTCCACTTCCATTATTCTGAAAATTATTCTCACAAGAATTATTTTTTCCAGTTTGGGAATAGATACACAGACTAGGTGACTGGCAGAATTGAGATTCACAATATGAGTGAAAGATTCTAATGCTTGTAAACTCAGTTTAGTGTGTGTAGACACAGAGGCTCTTGTGACATCGTGATATATTTACAATGGGAAGATGAGTAAGGCCATGGTAACCCTGAATCTCATTGCTGTTGAAAGGAGGGATGGTTAAATCGTTCATGTTCTACAAGCAAGGGTGACTGACAATATCTTGGAATACCTTATCTTAGAACCCATCAGAAGCTGTCCTGCAGAGCCGATAGGGGCCAGTGGTCAAGGAGAACGATCACACGGGGTGGGCTCCCCTAATGACAGAGTCACTCTTAGACATGACACCACTGACATCTCTGTTTTCCCACTGTTGTCAGGCCCTGGCCTTTCCAAAGGGGACATGTCTATTGTTACAGTTATGGACTGGCAGTGACTATTTTGAACTCCTCTGCACTGTGAAAAGGCAAATACTGTGGATGAGCCACTGATAGGTTTTCTCTTCATCACCATACTTGGGCCTCTACATTAATAGATAACCTCTGGCCCAACACCCAATCCTGCTAGAGTAACTCTTACCCATGAACCTTGCTCAAGAGGACTGTTTATTGCTCCTATATCCCCATGATTGGCCACCTCATTGTACATTACAGAGCATCTTTGTACCTATGTGGGCTCTGGGGTTCAGAAAATGAACATTTTCTTTAACTTGTTAGTTTTCATTGCCTGGCAATTGAAAATAAGTCACATGGTGGTAGACCACTTTTTGTCCCCATTTTAATTCAGTTCTTGTGCCAAGAGCTAGTTCTGAAAACTGACTCGCGGTGATACTGGTGCTGATAACTGGGAAGATCATTCAGTAGTGCTTGCTATTATACATCTTGGTGATAACCACCAAGGTGATAGCTTAGGGAGGAGAAACATCTTCGAAACACAAGAAAAAGAATTCCTGCTGCTGCTGCTTCTTCTCATTTTCCCTCTAGACTGCTTATTGACAAATCTGATGACTTCCACTCTTTCATCTAGAGTGAACTCCTAAAATTGTTATACCAAAAGATTAGACGGAAAACTTTATAAGAACATATGAAGGCCCGACTCTGTTGCATGCTCTGAAACTATGACCTGATAACTTCTGGTAACTTCATTCTTATCTTGTAGCTCAAATCTTTCTTTGAAAAACAAACAAACAGACAAACAAACAAAAAAAACGGAAGGGAGAAAGAACCGCGTCTTAAATTAGGAGACAGCCTATTTACCTCTATGTGAAAATGTAGTCATTAACAATATTGGGGCCGGGCGCGGTGGCTCATGCCTGTAATCCCAGCACTTTGGGAGGCCGAGGCGCTCAGATCACGAGGTCAGGAGATCGAGACCATCCTGGCTAACACGGTGAAATCCCATCTCTACTAAAAAATACAAAAAAAAATTAGCCGGGCGTGGTGGCGGACGGCTGTCGTCCCAACTACTCGGGAGGCTGACACAGGAGAATGGCGTGAACCCGGGAGGCGGAACTTGCGCCACTGCACTCCAGCCCCTGCGACAGAGCGAGACTCTATCTCAAAAAAAAAAAAATATAAAAAAAAAAAAAAAAAAAAAAATCTCGGATTTGTGATCTTTGAGCTCGTAACCAAGGTTTTGCAGGGCCTGAGAAGCAACAGGATAGCCAGTTCCACATAGAAATGGATCTCGGTTTGGAACTGCTAATGTCATCACCTAGGAAGGCAGGAATCAAATTATTCAGTAGCTACACCCATGCAGATTTTACCTCTGAAGCCGAATAAAAACTCGATTTTTATAAATTGGTTATTACAATGCTGACAATGGTAATCTCGAGAAATGAAATAAAAGCAGCAACCGTACTCAGACAGATCAGTTATTCAACAGATGACAGTGACATTATTTTCATTTCCAAATATGTGGATTTGAATCAATTTAAAGCAAGTCTCCATGACCCGGTACCCCATTCTCCGAGCTATATAAGACCCCGGGAATATTTTTCTTTTTTTTAAAACAGCGCTTACTGGAGAAAACAAATGAAGCAGATGAATATTCATAGCGTGAGCAATGAGAAGCAGGTAGCAGGAATTCACTAGCGCTCCATTTCACAGAGGTCTTTCTCTTCAGGCCTGGGCACGTCATGGTACTACTGCTGAACGGAAGTGCTCCTTTTTCACTAACTGATTAATGCTCCCTTGCAGGAGCTTCGTTACAATATTACAAGTCAAGAATTTGCAAGATTAAAGTGTCTGTTGAATTAATTAACTGCAAATCACCTCCAGTAAAGCTTGACAAGCTCCAAGATGTTTCTGTGGAAAAAGAAGGGAATCGATAGCATCAGCAATAGGCAGCTTTGCGACAGTGGAGACTGTATTTCTGAGTGACAGCTCACTGCTGCCTTTCTCCCTCTTACAGCAGGAGGGATTTACATCTTTCCACAGAGCCCCAAGCCTCCGATTCAGACCGTGGAAAATGTTTCACCCCAGGCTTTCAAAATATGCTTCAGAAATCCATTTCCTTTTTTATGTACAATGCATTAGAAAGGTTAATAAGGGAAGTTGAATATTTTAATTTTTTAAAAGAATGATATAAAATGACAATTATTCCACTAGCTGACAGGTCTCCTTTGGTTATGTTAAGGTGTGTTATTGCTTCCAATCTGAATAGAATAAAAAACATCACAAGGGGCTCAGCAGAAAACCGCAGGTCAAAGGTTAATTGCTAAGTGAATGCAACAGTGCTCAACACACAAAGTGCTCATTTTCCAGACTCACAGTGGCTTGCAATGGGTTCTACTGGTGTGTGATCAAAATAGGAATTTTGATTACGATCATAGAAACCCAAACTATATTTTCAACACATTTAGTAGTGTTTTGGAACTTCTTGATGAATTAATCTGAAATAATTAAAAGTGTTGATTTGATACAGCTCCATACCAGAATGCCACTAGAACAGGTAAATTAAATTAGCTTAACCACATCTCCGTCTGATAACATTTGTAGTACTTAAATGATGTAATAATTTGATTAAATCCATTTTAATACAAATTAAGCAATGGAGAGGAGGAGAAGGTCAACAATGTGGTAGATGGAAATATAATAAAAACACAAAACTTTATATTTTCTGAAATTCTGATAACAGGGTAGATGATATGCATCAATTATTAGCACAAGAGAAAATTTTGTGTGAGTACTGTGCTGGTAATATTGGCTTAATATTTTGATTAATTAGTTTTATTGTTGATTTGTTTTGTTAAACAAGATCTTTGCCTAGCAAATATTATATCCGTAACTACATGCTTCTTTTTGTCTGGTCCAATGACTAAAGTAGCAATAATTGTAGTAAGGAATGTGGTAATGGTGGCATGAACCTAGAGATCACGGTACCTTGTAACATTTATTAGGTCAACTCTTTTATTAATGCATAATGTGACTTGCCAAGGAATTTGAATTATTCTATACTCATAAAAGTTAATATGCTTTCTTCTCTCTTTTCTTCTACTCCATGGAGGGTCAATGGGTTTATATATTCCCTGCCCAGAATTATTTCACATAAGGAAAATTAGTTATACAAGTTAATAGTGATCTTTAACAATCTGCTCCTTACATATGTGGGAAGCCAATCACTCAGGGCCACATTGCAGGAGAGAATGCAATCCGGTCCAAAGCCAGTGTGGGTTTCCCCAAGGAGCTGGGGCTGACTGTCTTGACTCCTGACTCTTGAAATTGTCATGCAGCACAGTGCTGCTCTTCTGGGCATCGGAGGAAAGGCTTTAGAGCAACAGCTGATGTTTATATCTGGAAATTTGTTATTCCTAAATAACCAGTATGCTGGAGAAACACAGTAAGTGAAGAATGCTTTCTTGAAAAATCAGAGAAGTCACCTATTGGAAAACTCTTCACTTTGGAGACTCCCTAATTTCATGCCTTTTCTTGAAATAAACTCTCAAGAATCGCTCCAAAGTTTATCCAAAAATGATTGTTTTCAATCAAATACTATGCGCCAAGAGAGTATTTCAATTTTTTTGTTGTGCTGTGATATCAATTTAAAAATATCTAGTGTTGTGGAGAGTCATATAAACAAATTATAAAATTACTTTTTATAAGCAGTCATCTAGTGTTGATTCTTTTTTGTATTCGTATTGTTACTTTATGCTTGTCATCATTATTTTATATGGTAACTGTTTAGTGTGAGGTTTACATGCTACACAATGACATTTTGTTCAACAACAGACTGCACATATGACAGCGATCCCATAAGACAATAATACTACATTTTTTACTGTAACTTTTCTGCTTAAATACACAAGTACTTACCATGGTGTTACAGTTGCCTACAGTATTCCGTATGGTAGCATGCTGTACAGGTTTGTAGCCTGGGGACAATAGGCTCTACCATACAGCCTAGGAGTGTGGTAGGCTCTACCATCTAAGCTTGTGTAAGCGCACTCCATCACACAATGATGAAATTGCCTGACGATGCATATCTCAGAATGTATCCCCATCCTTAAGTGACATATGACTGTATAGTCTTAGAAAATCTGTGTTTCTTTCTTGCTTCAATATGGAATTAAATATAGATATTGAGAAGAAGTAGTGTGGTAGAGTAGAAAAGAGTAAGAGTTGATGTCAGAAAACTATGATTGTGCTGCTAATAGCTAGACTGTGAACTATTCTGATACAACTTTCCTTTTGTGCTTGACTGTGCATTGCCTAGTCATAAGAGTTGCAGAGGTCATAATTGTTGAATAAATGACTCAGGGAAAAAATAAAACTGTAATGTGTAATCCTGATGACAAAAATTACCTGTTCTTTTTGGATCTCAGTTGTCTCATCTATAAAATAAAGTGATAAAGCAACACTTAGATTTCTTTTACATGCTATTTCCTATAAAAATCAGTGACTTCTAATTTTACGTAAATTCATAAAGATCTCTTAAATCAAAGCAGGAAGATAGTTACTTGTATTTTAATATACTACATTCATATTGATCGTTGAAGATTTTTTAAAAATAAACACCAGGGTTGAGAAAATTTTTGGTTTATTATCGGCTACCTTTTTAGTATCAGTTCAAACAGCACACACACAGCTTACTAGGCAACAGTATCATTGAATGGGTTACAACTCTGTCATCTTGCAGACCTTCAGACATGCTACATCTAAAGTGAGAAGGGAAAGAACACATCAATTATTTTATAATTCCATTCAACAAATATTTGGTCGACACTTGCAGTATTATTTGCATCTAACACTAAGATAAGGTTCCTAGACTTATATGATTGTTCAAGCTAGTGGTTTAATAATCCTCTTAAATATTAAATTTTGTGACCTGCAAGATATTAAATAAAATTTAGGAAAAATTATGGCAGTGAAACAGAATTACCTTATAATTTAAAAACATCACTTCAAAGACTTGTTAGCTCTCCTTCCTTCCTTCCTTCTTTCCTTCCTTCCTTCCTCCCTCCTTCCTTCCCTCCCTCCCTCCCTCCCTCCCTTCCTTCCTTCCTTCCTTTCTTCCTTCCTTCCTTCCTTCTTCCTTCCCTCCGTCTCTCCCTCCCTCTTTCTTTTCTTCTCTCTCTATCTTGTTAAAATGCCAAAGTAAGCAATGGGGTTTAGTTTTTTTTCAGTCTGCTTAATTGGATGAAAGCAGCATACACATATAAAATACGAGGGATGTGGCATCACATTAATTTATGTTTATCACTTAATTGAATACATAGTAGAGCCATAGGAGGGGGACAGTTTCCTGGAATGGAAGAATAGCATTTATCTGCCTACTATGAGTTAGAGAGTTAACGTAAAATTTAGTTACAGGTGATAGAGACTTCCATTTCACATCATTGACTGTTACATTTTTAACTGTTCATTTTGAAGGACATCTTTGACTTTTAGATAAAATTTTCTTGGAAAAATTTGATCATCAGACCATGATTCTGCTTCTTCTGAAGACTTGCCAAATCAGGACTAGATTTTGTGGGAAGAGTCACTGGGCTCCCAGAAGTCGCAGTTGTTGAAAGCTGTGCTCAACCCTCAGCCCCACTGTTTCCTAGCTTAGAGATACTTGACATCTCTAAGCCAAAGTTTTGTCATCTGTAAATGGTGCTTAACTCACAGATGACAGTGAGGACTAAATGAAACCACATAGATACAGTTGTTAGTCCAGTGCTACGTACCCAATAAACCATCCATTGTGATGAGCTACTCTCAATATGGGAGATAGAACCGTAAGAAAGTCTGTGGGGAAATGAAATAACCAAAAGCAAGACTTGATTTAGGCAGCTTGTTTCTGACTTAGGCCGTCAGTATATTACGAAAATATTTCAAGGACATTGTCATCTCTTGTTTTGCAGAATATAGGCCTCAAGTTTGACTAAAGCTTTACATTTGGGGGCTAGGTCACTGCCTGCTATATATATATATATATATACACACACACACACACACACACACACACACACAAATGCAAATGGCTGTTTGGCACTTCTTCCATGTGGCTTTCTGCCGTGAGAGCCGGCTGCTTGTGTGCTAGCCTAATTGCTTCAATTAGCAAAATTAAATGGCTCATTATGTTTTTATACAATTCCACCCACATTCTGCAGTTTTACTTTAGAATGAGTAATGATACTGTCAAGGCTGTTGATTGATAGTCTTGCCAGGTGCCCATTTTTAGGACAGCAACTAGACAAGACATATGTCAACACAGAGAATTCTGGAGTGGCCTGATGCTGCCACCCAGGTGCCTATGTGAAGAGGAGAGATGCCACTCGAATGCTCAGGGCATTTCATGGCCTGATACAGGTCCAGACAAGAGTCTCAGAAATGGGGGATAGAGTGGAATCACCCATCCTTGGCCATTTTGAAACACTGGAGCATCAGGTGGGAGAAGGAGTGTTATGAGTCAGAAGCTGACACAAGCGATCATTTTGATTGTTTTCAAAAATGACATTGGATTGCCAAGACAAAGGAACGTTGATCTGCCTCTGTCACTGAAATTATAGGAATGACCACCCCAGTCCTGCTGTGTTTTCACCATGCACTTCAACCATCTTCTGAGCTATAATCTGAATGACAGTATGAGCTATTTTTAAAAAGGCTTTAAGGAATTCTCCTTAGCACATAAAAATGCAGGCATCTCATCCAAGCTTTATATAGAAACAGCAATAGCTAATGGCAAAGATATGTGGAAAATGCAAGGGAGCATATATTTAGTCTAGAAAATGGTTCATTAGAAAAAATCTCTGGATTCTTGTCTAAACATTGTGTCAGAGCTTGTTTCCATTCAATGGCATTTGGTATATTTAAAAGCAAATGTGTAACCTTACACAATCCTGGTAAGGACAGAAGAGGTTTTCTTTGCTCAATTCAATCTGTTCAGAGAAAGAAACTTTGAAGTCACACAGAACTATTTTATTCAGCTGTTTAAAAGATGAGATCCTTAAGAAGTGATAAAACTCATTCGAGCTAAGAAGTGCTGAATTATATCTAGGTATTTCCAACTGAAGTTCATAAGTGTGTTGGTCTTATAGATGGACTGTAAGCTTCAGTTGGTTTTGAAAAAGCAGTAGGAAAATGCTTCTTTTCTAAAAAGCTTATGTACACTTTATATGCATAACATACCACTTTATATGCATTCAAAAGCAGTATATACTTTATCCTTTTCATCTCTGTTACTTTAGTTGGAAAGTATATACACTTAAAAAGAACATATCATTTTTAAAAAACAGCCATTGAGTTTTCAATTACTCTCATTCACTTTTAATTGGTCTGTGCAATCACTTCCTTTACTCATAGAGCAAAATAAATTGGGCATTTTGAAATTAACCATAAATACTTCATTTTACTTTTATCTTCAGATTATCTTTTGCTAATACTTGAATTATATATTCTTGCCATGTCAGTAAGATAATTTATTATATTTGTTGGGTTAACAGCATTTATCATAAATGAGTAGTAACTAAGTGTCTGCAAAGAATGTTACTGAACTAGACAGTACATAGTTAAGTAAATAAGCAAAGAGGATTTAAAGGACATAGTCATTTTGCGAGACTTTGACTTACATGGAAAAACTATTTCCTTTTCTTTCACACAAACAAAGTGTCACTATGGTTAAGATATACACACACACATTATATATATTCATTAAACATGGTTTCATATTTAGAAATGCAAGTTTAAAAGTAAAACAAATTACAATGTTGTTCCTTTAGAAAATTTCCTTATCCTATGCAAAAAGTGAGTAAGAGCAGATCTCCCTCTTAAATGGAATCAAAGTGGACTCAGACATGGAAAGGAGCCTGCACATAAGGAATGCACCATTTCCAATTTTTTTCCTTTGGGATTCTCCAGTTACTGTCTGTGGAGGGTTTAATGGCAGACTGAAAAGGAAATGTTAGAATTAAAATATAAATACAAAAATTAAACTTTGTTTCTTTGTACATTGACGATGTCTCTTTAAATCTGAATACTTTAAACTCTCTGTTATCTGTGCCTCTAGAAAACGAGTAAAAGTTGTTATCACCACAACAGTCTGGTGGCAGTGAATTGCTTCCTGAATCATGGAAGCAAGGCTAAATCATGATTTACCTCTAGAGTAAGTTGTTTTGCTCTTGTAATCTTTTGAAAGGTTGTAATTCATCACATCGTGGATATGTTCTTTCCTTAACAAGAATTCATGCCGAATTAAAACATCATAATCTCCAAGTATGTCGGATAACAGAGTATTTACAGTATTTGGGAAATCACTGAAAAATTCAACCTTCTCACATTCTCCTGCCTGCCAATCTCACCTCCAAGTCAAAGCACAGTACATCATTTTTAATTGACATAGTATTCATTCTGACTCTTAACATGTTGAATGAGAGATCAAGTTGAGAAATAACTTAGAACTTACATGATTGAAGCATGATGGGGCCTGTTGGGTTTGTGTTGATTGATTGACTCTATTAGATTGTAATCTGTGATTTACTCATAGAATCAAAGGTATAGTTCAACTGAGAAACTCAATTTCCAAAGATCATCAGTTAAAAGTTGTCTTGGAAACAACGAAGCTAATAACTCAAGGTTCTGCACAAAAGTGAAGAATTTGCCAAAATCATCATTTTTTTCCTTCTACAATGGGGGGTGGAATGTTTTCACCATGTGCTGACAACAAGAGCCTTTTCCTGGGCCTTTACTGGTGACTAGGTAATCTTCCCACATCCCAACAAAAGATTAGTATTTTTTAGTGGAAATCTTGCTTGGAGGATCAAATCATGGAGTACTAGGAAGTATGTCTACTTACAAAAATTGTCTATTTTAAAAAAAAAATTGATTTGGGGCTTTGTACCAAAAGAAGTCCTAGGTTGAGCCCTCTGTTACTTCCTGTGATGTCATTGTGGGGACACAGTCTCTGGATGACACATCCATTACAGGTGGTGGCTAGAGAACTGGACTACTTTATGTGAATTAGTCCAAATAACCAAATAATTAAGTTAAACTTTTCTCTTTTTTCTTTTTTAGTGGTTTGGCTAATACTTAATCTATCAGTTGGGTTAATATAAAACCAGGGAAGGAAGTTTAAGACATCTTCCACTGTGGTCAGGTTTGTTATAATGGATGGATGAAAGTAATCATCTACATCTTTGATTTCCTGGGAAACATTGGCCAGTCTTGACAAGCCCTTTCTATTAAGCTGATTCTCTCTTCACCTGATATTCTGATAGCACCCCTGGCCAGGTTCCTGGGGGCACCAACTTGCAAAGTAGGGTGATCTTGCAAGAGACAAATGTTTTCAATCTGCTGAGGCAGGCTGATGGAATTTGTGGACCAGGTTCTGACATCCCAAGTAATTATGACGCTTAAAGTATTTTAAACGACTCCAGGTCTATAAAAAAAGTGATGATGCCTATGTGTATACCCTATATTTTTTATTACAAAAATATTGAAATAATCCATGAGTTATTCCACTCTGCACCAACTATAAAAAAATACTATCAAAGTTTGACCGGCACTTTTAATGCAACGAAAAGCACCATGACCAAGGACACTGAGAACAGAAAGCGGGGAACGTTTACTTGCTGTACGGAGGTATTTAAAACCCAGAAGCTTGTTGTAAGAGTGCGACTTTACAGATGATTCAAATACAAATCTTAGCTGGATATAGTGATAAGCCCTCTATCAGTTCAGAAGGGTTTTTTCATAGCATATTCATTGCATCTGTCTGCTCATACTTACTAAAAAGTGTCCCAAAGCCTCTAAAAGACATATCACTTTGACCTTGGATTGCGGGAAGCAAAAGTCTGTACACAGTGGAGAACTTGATTGCTCGTTCTCTTGCCTGCTTTTAGGGGGCTCATGCCAATCATTCTCAGTTGTTCGGGGCTTCCACGTCAGTCCTGTGGTTGGATGGTGTTTGGCACTAGAAAGGAGTGGCACGGCATCTTCCAGAGTCGGCGTCTGCCTATTGTCACACAGAGCCACTCATTCTGCGTCTGGAAACAGATCCGGTTGCAGCCCATTCCTCTGGTTCGTGCAGCACTGCCGTTATGTCCCAATAGGCGCGGCACATGCCTGGGAATCAGACTCTCATTTTGCCTTTTTCCCCACTTCCTCTTTGTGTACCTATTACATTTTTGCAATTGAATACTGAATCATGATTACTATTTAATTTACATCATAAAGTTATTGAGCTCCTTGGTCTTGTCGAAAGCCGTACATGGGCTGCATAGGATTTCTGTCAAAAAGGATGTTCACAACAGAAAATTTAAAATATAAAACAAATCCTGAAATGTGTAGAAAATGAACCATTCCATCAATGCTAACACATGTGTAAACAACATTTGGGTTTGCTGTCCATTGGATAGGATTTTCACAAGTGGTATGGATTTCCAAATAAGAAAATGGTTTATGAATTCTTTTCTAAGCAATACTATTTTTTTTTTCTCGAGGGATATTTCTCTCTTTCTTTGTTTTTATATTCCTGCGGGAATCAGAGCTTTGCATCAAGAAAAGTCACCTAAGCTTTTTTGAGAGAGGACTGGTGTTAGTGTGTGTATGTGTGTATGACTGAATCTATTTTTATGGAAAGATCAGTTAACACCATCAAGACACCCTAATGATTGGAGGCAAAATTTTCCATAATAATAGTACCCTCTGGTGGGTGCACCCAAGACCGTGCAGGAGGAGTTTGGTAGCAATGGAGAGTCCTACTAAGCCAGCGTCATTCTTTCAGGTGGAGTCAGAGACCCTCGGGTGCAGCTGCTTTGGAAGGAGACCAGCTGCCCCCAGTCAACAGGATCAAATGATAATGGTGATGACGGTCACACTAGGAACTTCACAGCTCACTGCCCTGCTCTAGGATGAAGTGTCATTATGGCCACAGCCCTGCTGTCACCCCTTCATCTGGATGTTGTGAGTTCTGCAACTCCTTTTGCTTTATAAAGTGGTTTCATACTCCAACCGCTCCTGAATAAGGGCATCATCTTTGTACTGCAGCCTTGGAGGAGATGGGGAACATTCAAAAGCTAAAATAGCCTTTCGGAGGCTTCGGTCCAAAACATGCCTCTCCCATGCTGGGTACCTATTCCTGAACAAGTCAATTTTAATGACCGATTCTTCAATCCGTGGTGGGCGAGATGATGGGGTGGATGGGGCAGTGGGTCTCACCTGAAAGACAGGTACACACCCATCCCGCTCTGCGAATTTCTGATCGCGCTCGCTGACAACACTGCGGTTGTTTGAGATGGACCGTAGGGTGCTTGTGGCCACGTCTGGGGGCAAAGTGAAGGCAGCGGCTGGGTCCTCACAAGCACAACTTGGTGACTGCCCGAATCTGGGTCCATTGGGATGAAAGAAGGCATAATACATCAGCATAAAAACAACGCCAGTTAAAAAGCTGCTGAACACCACACACAGCGCTGGAATGGCAAATGCGTCTGCAATCTGGGGAGCCTTGTAGAGGTACCAGAGGGCACTCAAGGCTGTATTTTCCAAAAGGATCACAAAATAGTAAATGAATAGCCTGCAGCGTGTCCTGCCTTCCTTGACATTGAACCAACTGAAGATGTAGATAATCCCCACCACCATGTCGAACACAATCTCTTCCCATTTGGTGATACAGAATTCTGTCTCACAGTGGACGATCCAGAAGGTCATGATGCACCAGTGAAGGACGATGAAGATCCCAAAGTACAGCTGGAAAACCGAGGCAAAGAGGGCAAACGTGATGACCCTGGCGGCGATGGTGAAGAAGTGCCAGCAGAACTGGATGATGACCGCCATGTAGCTGATGGGCTTCTTGTCATCTCGAGAGTCCCGGAGGGCCTTCTGATAGGAGGCCAAGGCCCAGGCCAGGGACACGAGAGAGGCTGCCGCTGTGAAACCTACAAAGGCAAACAGGAAGACAGTCTGTCAAAAATCAGTTGCAGCAATGCCTCCTGGAAGTCACACAGAGCTGGGGGCTTAGGGAAGGCTGGTTTTAACCTCAGCAAAGGCTCTTAATTTCTTTTTTTTCTTTCTTTTTTTTTTTTTTTAGACAGAGTCTTGCTCTGTTGCCCAGAGCGATCTCGGCTCACTGCCAGCTCCACCTCCCGGGTTCACGCCATTCTCCTGCTTCAGCCTCCGCAGTAGCTGGGACTACAGGCGCCCACCACCACGCCCGGCTAATTTTTCATATTTTTAGTAGAGAAGGGTTTTCACCTTGTTAGCCAGAATTTTCTTTGGGTTTTAACTCAGATGGGGATCCTCGTATCTGTCCTCTCTAAGGCTCACCGTATGGAGAAGTCATGAAGCTAATAGGAATGCTCCTCAAACCCAGCATGGGTGTGAGGCCTGGAAATGGGGTGGAGTTTAACTGTCTGTATTTGGTGTAAATGGGCTAAGGAGGTAGTTCTGTGAAGTGGGAAAATAACCATGGACCGGAGGCTGTCGAACCCGGGTTGCTGTTTTAACTTTGCCACTTACTACCCTCATGTCCTGGGACTATTGTTAAAACAGATGTCCTCATTTTTAAAGTGGATGATCTCCAAAGCTCCCTGTCAGCTTTGTGATTCCATGATTGAAGGGGATATGTAATCACAGGAAACCAGGGACTAGCTAGTTTATCTTTCTGCTTGGAAGCAGGATTAAATGTAGCTTATTCACAAAAGACAGTTTATGCGTTCTTAGAAATAAAAGGTGTCTGTACAACATCCTTGGCAATGTTTCTTGTGATACCTGGTGCAGTTTGTCCTAGTGCAATCTGGCACTCCTCCTGCAGCTTTCATCTGTTCCTTACTGCCTTTCCCATAACAGAAGACATGTCTGCTCCCTGTCTTCCATCTCTTAGCTCTTCATAAAGATTGTACTGAAATTATTTTACAGTCATTTCTCTTATTTTATCATTTTATTGGCCCCATTCGGTTGGTATTCCCTCTAAAAGCAGGCTTCCAAATGTTACAAGTAATTTTTTTTTTTTTTTTTTTTGAGACTGAGTCTCGCTCTGTCGCCCAGGCTGGAGTGCAGTGGCGGGATCTGGGCTCACTGCAAGCTCCGCCTCCCGGGTTTACGCCATTCTCCTGCCTCAGCCTCTGAGTAGCTGGGACTACAGGCGCCCACCACCACGCCAGGCTAATTTTTTTTTGTATTTTTTAGTGAAGACAGGGTTTCACTGTATTAGCCACGATGGTGTCGATCTCCAGACCTCGTGATCAGCCCACCTTGGCCTCCCAAAGTGCTGGGATTACAAGCATCCGCTACTGTGCCTGGCCAAAAGTCATTTTTTATTGTTTTCCTCGACTCTTGTTCCACCTCCTGTGTGGCACAGTTCATCTCTATGGTCCAGATGTGGCCAGGGCTCACCTAAAAACACACTGGCCTCCTTCAGGAGAGGGCTTTTATGGGAATTCCTCTTTGTCACGGAAACGGTATGCCGATCTGCATCGCAGCTGGCTTCCTTAATGAGCTGAACCAAGACTCACCAAGACTAAGAATGCTCTCATCTATTTTAAAGTCCGGCTGGCTTTTTCTTCACCAAATCTATTATTAATCATAACCAGGCCCCATTAAAGCCTTTCTCTTCTTTTGGAAATAATAGAAGATATGTTGATTGCCAAGAGCTTATAATGGAATTGGTATTTTTACTCAAAAATATTTTTTATAGAGAAGAGCTGTTGTCTATGATCCTTGAAAAATGAAAAGGAAGTACTCTTGTGGAAAAAGTCCACACGAATTGACAGAAATACACTCAACCCCAATAATTATTTCTGATACATCCTCCTTGAGTAAGGTGAACTCCAAAGAACAATTATTGATAAGGAAAATATTTTCCAAGAGCCATTTCTCATATTTCCTCCCAATAAAGCCAGCAGAACAACTAGACGTGCTACACTAGGACCTTCAGGCTTTTCTTTTCTTTTCTTTTTCTAGTTAGCACAAAAATCTTTAATTGCCGTAAGTCACAGGCAGCTGTGGCGCTATTTATAGGTCAGAGACCAGTATACAAAGGAGTTTCTGATAATTTAATTTCTAAGCAACAGAAAACACCGACATCAATTATAAAACAAATTCTGGAGTGAAAAGAGGGGGAAGGAGAAAAAATTTAAAAAATGACAAAAGAAGGTGAGAGAAATGCGAAATAAAAGGTAATGGGATAATGACTATGCGAACGTCTTAATTATCAGTTGGGTATCTAAGAACAAAAGGTTGTGCCGTTTTAATTTCTACGCCTTTGTAGGGTATAGAAGCCGCTCATATCTCTTTCCTTATGTGTACCATTTGCAAACGTGTAGCTTCTCACTAGACTGTGCTGCCTTTGTGGTTTTAAGCGGGGCGCCCAGCTCGGTTTCTGCCCAGGAATGCCTGCCCCTCCTCTTCCTGCACGCCGGCCTCCTTCAGCACAGTTGGGGCACAGCGCCGCCTTCAGGAAGATAACTGCATCGCCGGTCAGGCTCGCGCTAACCAAAGGGGCGTTGTCCACGGGGTGGTCAGAATGGTTCTACCAGTGTGCACAGGAAGACGTTACTTAAGGCTGCTTTCCAAAGCAGTGAAAAAATAGTAACAAAACTTTAACTACACAGTATGATGAAATGATGAAATGATCTGTTGTCAGATTTAAAAGAATAGAAACATTAGCCTCCTTCAAATTCCCCTATAATCTCTACCCCTTTTATTGCGTGTCCTAAAAGAGTAATTCAGCCTACCTTTGACACTCCAGGAACTTGTTAAGATGATACTGTAGCCCTAGAAAAATGAAGGCTTTCTATCAGCTTTGCTCTCTCTATATCTTACTATTAAAAAAATCTATACCAAAGGGAAATTTCATATCCCTGTGATACCCCCTTTATGAATTCTCTGCTTCAGCAATGAGAATTTCTCTTCTTCCTTTGTTGTTGTTGTCGATGATGATGATGATTTTTTGGGACAGTGTCTCACTCTGGCTGGAGTGCGGTGGCACGATCTCAGCTCACTGTAGCCGTCACCTCCTGGGTTCAAGCGATCCTCATGCCCCAGCCTCCTGTGTACCTGGGACCACTGACGTGTGCCACCATACCTGGCTAAGTTTTGTACTTTTAGTAGAGAGGGGGTTTCACCATGTTGGCCAGGCTGGTCTTGAACTCCTTACTTCAAGTGATCCTTCTGCCTTCCCTCCCAAAATGCTGGGATTTTAGGCATGAGCCACCGTGCTGGGCCTTCTTTTGATTATTATTTACTTTTTCGTCTGTTTAACAATTGATTTTTATAAGACAAATATATGCTGAACAGAAAATATGGGGTCATATTCAATTTAAGACCCTTACAACTTCACAAATTCACAACTGCCACAGAACACTTAGTTCTTCTGCTCTTTATACAAATAATACAAGCTCAGTTTTTTCCAATGCCAAGGTAGACTTCCTTAGCAAGGCACGGCCTTATTCTTAGAGTTCTCTGAAGCTTCTGATGTGCAGTGGCACAGTGCTGGAGCACAGGAATCTGAGCACTCCTTTAGCTATTAATGTGTATTTTAAGTTGTTATTTGAAAATAATTTCAAACTTACAGAAAAATTGTAAGAATAGAAATATTATATTGAACATCTATATTTCATTTGCCCCAGTTGTCAACTGACTTTATCATTGCCCTCTCTCTGTCTCTGTCTCTCTCTCTCACCCATTTGTGATTAAATGCGTACATTATGGTCCTTTACCCTAAAATATACCAGTGTTTATTTCCTATGAATAGGGGTATTCTCTTACATAACCACATAAAGTTATCAACTTCAATCAATTTAACATTGATACAGTACTTTCAAAAAATCCACTATCAGTATTCTGGTTTCACCAATTGACATTAACAAGGTCCATTCCAAAATTTTTCTCCCCTATGCAGGATAAAGTCTAGAATCAGGTACTACATTTAATTGTTGTATTAATTTAGTTTCCTTTAATCTGGAATATTTCTAAATACTTTCTTTGCCTTTATGACACCGGCATTGTTTGAAGAGTATAGTACTTGAAAATAAGAAAAAAAGAAAAAAAAGGTGTTCCTCATTTTGGGTTTACCTGCTGCTTCCTCAAGGGTACATTCCCGGGCAGGAATATATGTGACATTGGACAATGTATTTTTTCAGCATCATCAATATACTAAAATATGAAGATTCCTTCAGTGGCCCCAGGAAAAATATATAATGGGTCTGTTGGTCTTTTCTTTCAAAATAATGAATAGTATATCACTCATGAAAACTTGCTTCTAAGATCGAACTATAAAAAGAGCTACAGGGGACTAAAAGGAATTATATATTATTTCTTAAAATGTGAAAATAGGTGATAAGACCTTAAAGCTTACCTACTGCAATAATGTTATTTTATAGAAAAGAAATTGAGTTTCACTTTGAGAGGTTATCTTCCCTCTCTCCTGCCTCCCATTTATCTTGGGTGAAAATTGTCCTTCTCCAAAGCGAACCTCCTGCCTCCTAAACAAGGGCGCTAACAGTTAACCTGCCTTTCTCTGGATTCCATCTCTTGTATAAGAGTACCTTCCCAAGATCTTACAAATATGTAACGAGTCTCCTTTATCCCAGGAAACACCATTCGTGGGATGTTTTTTCTTTCTCCTCTTCTTTATTTCAGATGTGTCTCCTGTTTTCCCTCCTGTTGTTTCTTGTTCCCCCATTTGGTCTGGTTGTCCTTTAGCTACTGGCATTGCATGGGATGCAGTCCTCAGTCCTCTTTCCGTCTCAGCCTTTCTCTGGGTGACCTCACTCACTCCATGTCTTGAACCCAGCACAGAGCAAATGTCCATCTGGACTCCCAGCCTTTCTGAGCCCCAGAACTGTATGTCTGACCGTGAGACTTGAAACCCCATGGGCCTACGGTGAAATACCTGGAAGCAATCTGGCTGTAGGTGACAACATTTGCTTTCTCGTGG